CCTTTGCCACACAGCACTCTGCAGTTTGGCAAGAATGTCTGAAGCTGCAACAATCACGTACGCTTGCACAGCCAGGGAGCCAAAAAGGAATTCCAGTCTTAATTTTTTAAGTGGATTGACTGGGCAATGCCCACAAAATAAACTCCTTCTTATCGCTTTTTTCTTTCTTAGGTCTTTGACATCATTTAACCCATGAACTATTTAACAAGGTTACTAGCAAGTAAATTATTGAGGGGAAAAAAAGGAAATATTAGATCATTTGGAGGCATTCAAATTTAGATGAAATTAATGGATCTTAGCCCAAAACTATCATTTCTTGAGTTCAAGGAGTTTTAAAAGAATATCCCTCCTCTTTCACAACAAATCTACAAGGCTGTTATTATTCCTATTTCACAAAATAGAAAACTAAGGCTCCAAGAAGATAAGAGTTGGTGTTCCCAGGGCCTCACATTTAGAAAGGGGCTCAGCACACAGGTATTCAAACTCATGATTCAAACTCTGAACCCTTGTTCTTTCAACTCTGAGGTAGAAAAAAGCAATAAATGGCCATTAAATTCTGATTTCAAATTATAGTATCTATATTTTACAAATGTGAAAACATTAAACTACTGGAATACATTTTGTTTAATATCCTAATTGTAACGAATGTGTTATTCAGAACTTTGTTAGCTAAGTTGAGCCCAGATCTTAAAAACTTCAATTAAGCTCTGGCTGGTGTGGCTCAAGTGAATTGGGCATGGGCCTGTGAACCAAAACGTCTCTGATTCAATTCCCAGTCAGGACACATGCTTGGGTTGCAGGCCAGGTCCCCAGTAGGGGGCGCATGAGAGGCAACCACACATTGATGTTTCTGTCTTCTTTCTCCCTCCCTTTCCCTCTATCTAAAAATAAATAAACAAAGTATTTTAAAAATAAAAATAATAAAAATTTCAATTAAGATACAGAAATTTATCAAATATCCTACCTCACAAATATATTTTATATATTTTTCATCATTTACATGATAGTTACACTCACACTCTCAAGGCTTTTTTAATAGTTTATGTCAGACAGCTAATTGTCTATAATATCAGGGGAGGCCAAATTTGTATGTTTATGTCCTTTTACTTTTTCATAGGCTTGTATCAATATAATAACTTTCCCAAAATAATGAAATTATTTTTGCTTTTTTGGTACTTGAATCCAGACTTCCCTTCATTTCCTGTCTTTGCTCACTGTTCTCCCAAATTCATGGACTATTCTGTCAGCAGCTTTCCTCCCCTTACTTGTCATCCTTCCACTTCTGTTACTTTTCTTCTTGCCACTGCTCTCTGTAGCTTCTCTGTAACATCTTCAAAGCCACCTGCAAGGTTGTAACAGCCAGCAGTCCTCTGACAAGAAAACCAGGGAAGCCTTGCCCTTCAACTGGTCTCCTGGAATATCTTCACTGACAGGACACTAGCAAACCCAAAACTGATGTCAAAATAATAGGGTTCTAAGCAACGCTCATTTATAAGAATAAAATAGAAATAAATGAGTTACAAAATTCACCCTTGATGTAAAATCCCAAGCTGTTCCTCCATATGTGTTTCCAAGTAAATTATTTCAAAATAAATAACATAATAAATGATTTATGCATCTTTAAGTAAGGTCTTTAGGTTTATTTTTATTGCTATGGCTGCACTCCACAGATTCACAGTAAACAAAACTACCCGAAGTAGATAATACATAAAACTTACTGTAGACATCCCCAAGACAATTGGAGTTCTTATGATTTCACTCAATACAGTTCCCTTAAAATAAAGACTATAATTAAAGAAGTTGTATGAGGTCAAAGACTGGGAATATTTTTTCACTGGCAGTATTTTTTTATTGCATTGCCAGTGCTTTGCACAATACTTGCTACATTGTAGGTCCTCAAACATCCTTTATAACTGGGTGGCATAAATATGAATTTAATGCCCATATTTAAAAAAGTAATCTACTTCCCTCGAAGTTTCAAAACTGATACCATGTGCTTATTTTCTTTCATATGCTATTATGGCAGTTTATCAAAACCTTGATAATACATCATATATCTCCATAGAATCCCAGAATAGGGCAGGGCCCTCAGCATAATACCTGACAAATGAGAAGGATCCTAGAGACTTAAAATAATATGCACAGAGATACAAAAATGTTTAGTTGTCCAAAGAACAAGGAATGACAACCAGAATTCCAGAATTCTGAATTCCAGAATTTTTTTCAATTTTATCAATTCAATTTACTTTTATTATTAAAATGGTATAGAGTGTTATAATCTTTATAACCAACATTTGATGTATATAAAAATGACTTTTAAAATATCAAAATCAGAGTTTGACTATCCCATTGATCAAATAACTAGTTCAATTACTTGGCAATATTCTGGTATTTATAAAATTGATTTCCATTTTCTTACTTGAAAATTGCTCTGAATAAAGAACACATCTCCAGTGACTGAGCCGACATTCCATGATGAGGCAACTAGGAAAAAGAGAGCTTCCATACCAAGTATGATTTCTCCTGAAATATTCTGTATCAAATGCAAGAAAGCTCATAACAATTAAAAAAAAAAAAAACTAGAAAACTCCATCTAAGAATGCCCTGGTGATGAGTATTCTGAGAGGCTTTTTAAAAGTCATTCAGCTGTAATACAAAGACAGGACATATTCTGTATCCACAAGTGTTCTCAGAGAAGTCCAGGATTTTGTCATTTTAGGAGGATGCATCTACTAAAACTTTTTGAAGCAATGTTCTAGCTTACCAAATAAAAGAAGATGGGGGGTGAGGACCACAGAAACAAGTCACTGCTTTGAAATATAACTTCAGTTTTCTTTGTATTGCTAAGTCTCCTGGTGATATAGTTAGCCAGGGAGAATTTTTTATACAAGCCCTGTGAGATTGAATATGTTTGCACTATATTCACCAGTATATTCTGAGCATTCCAGCTGACAGATCAGATCTTTTTCGAAATAGAAAAGACAGCATGGAAAGTACACATAGCTGTTGTATCTATTACATCACCATAATTATTTTCAAATTTCTTATCCTAAAAACCATTACCTAGGTAGGGGCCTTTTATCCAGCAAAAAGCCAGAGTCACTCAAAGTTGACTTATAAAGGTAAAAATCAGAGAGTATTTCCTCCCTCTTATTTTGGTAGTAAATACCTGGGTTCTGTCTATTTTATCTACAGGTAAGTTGTTGAGAACAGTGTTAGGTTAAACTGGCATTATACCAGGAAGGAACTACCATTACTTTTCAGAAATTTTTAAGTTCTAATTCTTGGGGGAACCCCCTCAAACTAATCATTATCTTCAGTGAAATCACTGTATTCAGATATGAACCCATCGTACGGAAGAATCAGCACATTGCACAAATGTGCTATATGTACTGACACAAAACTACCAGTGTTCAGGATCACTGGACTCCTTTAATAAAGACTATATTCAACAACTTGCAACATCAAATAGTTCCTAAAATCACACATCCTGGGAAATATGTGCAGTAAAGAATAGCAAACAGTAGCCAAACCATTCCAAGTTTTGTATCCTAGGTTATCAGTGGAAGAGATGGCAGAAAAGTAAACCAACAGGATAATATATAAGAACAGGAAGATGAGAGAAGAGCAGTTCCATCGTCCAAAGGAGAAGTCATGCACCACTAATGCATGGGCCACAAGGATACCTGCCGGACTCCCTGGTGTCAGTACCCAGCCCCTCAGGATGCCATATTGCTTCTCAGGTTCATCCTCCCATCAATTGCAAGAATACTTTCAAAAGGAGACTCAAGAGTAGTCAAACAAGATCAAAGTTCAGATTCATTTTGGAAACTTCAAAGAAGTGTAAGTCCCAAAAGGGAGTAAACTGGTGCCAGGAGTTGAAGACCTTGTGTCCAAGGTCAGGGTGAGAATAAAAGGTGGATGGAGGTTTGACACTGCACCCCCTTCTGATTCTATCTGCGATGGTGTGGATTCCTTCAAAGCAGAGGTCATACTGACAAGAGAAAGGCTAAAATAAAGGTCTGGCATTCCTGCAAATGGCACACGTCAAGGGTAGTTGAAATGCCTGAGCAGGAATGAGCAAAAGTGCTCTGGAAGAATGCCTAGAACCAAGGGGAGTCCGGCATACATCTGGAACTGCTGATACACCCCAAAATGGGCGTAAGTTTAGAGGGCTAGGAAGGCATTTATTTACTCAACACATATTTATGAAGGTCTTAATATAAGGAAGGCACAAAAAAAAAGAGAGACAGTAAGCACTGAAGAATTCAGGGAAACAGAGTGAAGGTTTGAGGGCACAAGAAATACCAGAGAAGTTTAGAAAACCAGACACCATGGTTGCCCAGAGAAAAAGGTTGAGCCAATCGTGCTCAGTGAATAAGAAAAAATGCTATGAGATGGGGAGAAAAGAGATTAGAGGGTTTTGTTTTTCGTTAGAAAGCAACTCAAAAGTGTCTGACAGCCAGTTCCTGAAGACTGGAGAAAAGGGAAGCAACAGAGAATGCAGAGAGGCTGTGGAATTCAAAGATGTCAGAGGAGGTCACGCTAAGAAGACCAAGAGTGTGGGAAAAAAGAGGACGAGTTTCCTGGAAGGGGCAAGCACCCCTTTGGGAGAACAGAGATGAAAGACCTGGAAATGGGAACTGCGGAACACAGCGCCTGGGAAAGTTTGGGGGAAGGAAAACAGGTGGGTGTGAAGCAGTACTGAGGCCGGAAGGGTGAAGAGGGTGAAAGGCTGGAGGGGGGCTGCAGCCCCCGAATCAGGAGACCCCTGGGAGATCGAAGTCTTACTCCTTTAGGGTGCTCTAATGCCTCATTCCCCCAGAGCCCAGGGATGGGGTGTCGCCCGGGGCCAAAGGGAACCCCTGGCCTGGCGGGGGTGAGGCCGGGCCGCCCCCCAGCGGTCGGGTTCTGCGCGCACGCCTGGCTCGCCCAGCGCCAACTTTCCCGATCCCGGTACGCTCTCCAGACACACCGGCCCTCCTTCCGCCCCGGCTCACCGAGGGTGCCGTCAGGCGGCTGATGCTCTCGCCCAGCGAGTCCAGGTTGACCCGCCTCCGGCGCTGAGCCCTCCTGGCCCCAGCGGTGGCGGCGGTGGCGACCGCGGAGGCGGCCGGGGCCGGAGTGGCGGCGGCAGCGCTAGGCTCAGGCTGCCCGGGGGGGCTCCGGCTGCCGTTCCAGCAGAGCCTGGACATGGGGCATTCCCCCTCCTCCTCCGGGCTGGTCTCCAGGTAGTCGGAGCCCAGGGAGCTGAACGACTCGGATGAAATCTTCCTTCGAGACATGCTGCTGGCGGCGCTGCGGCGGCCAAGGCGGCGGCGGCCGGAACGCGAGTGGCAGCTGCGGCTGCAGTAGCGGGACCTGCGAGCGGAGACGTTAGGCGCGTCGGAGCCGAGGGGCGCAGCGATCACGCTTAGCCGGGAGGGAGTCTCCGGAGCCGCGGAGCCCGCCGCTCATGGCGGGAACTCGCGCACCGCCGCACCTTGGGGCCCGGGCTCCGCAGCGCCGGGCTGGGCAGGGGGCCGCCCGCTGCCTCTGCCGCTGCTGGCGTGGAGCCGCCTCAGCTCCCGCCTCGGCGCAGTGCCGTGCCGGCACGCTCGGGCTGGCGGAGACGCTCCGAGAGTGTGACCGCGGGCGGCGCGGCGGAGAGAGCTGCGGCCCGCGCAGTCTGGGAGGCAAAGGCTTCCACCGCCTGCGCGCCGGTCTCTACCCCCTTCCCTCTCTCCTCCCGCCCCTCTCGCCTCGCAGCCCGCCTCCCTCCGTCTCCCTTTATCCACACCCCCGCCCCCCCCATGCTCTCCCTCCGCCTGTGTCACGTGTCGCCATCATACTCATTGGGAGTCTCTGCCTCGCCCGTCGCCACGTTTCAGGAGCAATGAGGACACTTCGTTGCCGTCCTCTGCGCGCCCTCCGCGCTCCCACCTTCTCCTCCTCGGAGGAGTGTACCACAGCTCAGCTCTGACCAAAGGGCCTTAACCCCAAGCGCCGTGCCCCTCGCCCGCAGAAGAGGCTGCTGGGGAGCAGACAACCCGGCGGGCGCAGAAAAAGGAGGGGATCCTCCTTGGGAAAGCCTGAAAGCACGAAGGGGGTGGGAGGCGGGTAGGATCCATATCTGTCCTTTTTCCGCCTTCCTTTGAGTTTATTTAGGAAGTTCTGAGGCTTGGCGAAAGGCCGACCGGTTCAGCCCGCGCATTCCAGGGGAGACGCTTACAAGGAATTGGAAAGGGGCAAAATGTTGGCGCCTATCCTGCTTCAGCAGGATAACTGCTTCAGTTCGTGGGGTCGAGTGTCCGCCGCCTCAGGAGGCCGCGTGGGCTCGGAGCGAGCCCAGAGCCGGGCGGCACTAAATGAGGACAACGTCTGCTCGGGCCACAGCGCTGCAGCCGAGCGTCAGCCTTGCAGGGCGTTTAGGGTTCTTGGTTCCCGCGGGCTCATCACTGGTGCTGGACAGCTCCACTTGCCACCTGCGGGCGCGTTTGCGGTGTTACGGGCTGGGGGACAGTTCTGCAGACATCACCAGCTAGGACTGGGCTGGGGGAAGACCTGGGAGTGATCCCAGGTCCATCATTCTACAGGCTTTTTGCACTAAATATACTGTGTTTGCACTTGGCTGCAATTGCTGCCCAGAAAGCTAAGGGGAGTGGGAGAAAGGTTTTCCAAACCCAAGAACAAAATCGCTGCAAGATAAGCAAATCTCTTGCTGAGAGTTTGTGGTGCAGCTGCCTCATCCCAAACCTTGCCTCGTTGCAAAACCAGCAGCCACTCTAAGTACCTGACCCCACAGCATTTGCTTTAGCTCCAGAAAAGCCTCAGACTTGTTCTGACCTTAGGGGAAGGGGTGGGAAGAAGGGGCAAATAAGAGTGTCCTGGAAAAGAGGATCCCACTCTACATTCCTAGGCAGCAAAGCAGCACCCTCACCACCTTTCCCTCTCCAGGAAAGAAAAGTTCAGGGACTCTGGCTTTATCTCCCTGATGATACTGAAGCCAAAGCAATCTCATTTCGTTTTGTTTTTTTAAGAACTGGTGCTTCCAAGGTGAAGGCAGATGGGTTGGTGGGTTGTGTTTATTTAAGAAAACAAAAAAATCCCGTCAAAACAACAACAACAAACCACAAACTTGTGGTCTTACTTCAACCACAAATTGCTTTTAACTCTAAATCTTGGCAATAGTTTATGAGGGCCCAAATAAATATAAATGCTGTTTGAGATTTCCTTTTATATTCTGGAAAAATCCACTCAAACTGCTTCAGAGACATGCCTGATTCTCAAATTTTAAATAGGCATTAAAGATGTCAAAAATGCAAGCTATCACTTACATGCTATCCTTCAACTATATATTTTTTCTCAGCCTACTGAGTAAGTTGCTAACTGCATGGTTTCTCTTCTTAGGAAAGGAAATTCAGAACTCTTTTTAAAAGTTATTGTTATTATTTTGGTGATATAGTTATCTGCTGTTGATTTCATCATTGTGCCCCTTAGTCCTGTGTGCATTTGCTCCCACTGGAAATTAGACACAGTCGTGTACTTTTTATCATGAAGAATAGTCATTAGTTCTGCTAACAGTTTGGCCTTGTTTCTTTGAAAATTATATTATTCCAACTTTGGGAAAACTGTCTAATATTCTTGCTGTGCAGTACTGATCACAGCATAAGACAGAGTTCTTAGTTCGTGTCTTAATGATGATGAATGTCAAAGTTTTTATAGTCATACAATTTTACAGCTTCTACTGAGGATACTATACAGCATTAGGCCCTTCACATTCTTTAATAAAAATGCTGATGCACACACACGGAGGTCCTGTTGTGGTCATGGTCAATAACCTCTGCACTGACGTGAAAACCCAAATTTTACTAATCATTCCAACTTTCGTCACAAAATCAAAATGACTCTGTGTGCTGAGCAATGAGTATAATTTGTTTCTAAAATTTACAAGAGTCCTAAGAGCCTTCCTGTTTACACTGGACGTTTATTGCCAGAAAGAACTCTGAACCTAACAGACATGTTTGCTTTGTGTGAATCATTTGAATCAAAGACTCTTTATAGAATCTAAGCAACTGAAGTGGTCTTGCTGTTTTCTGCATGAATTAGCGTGCCTTTGATCATTATTTTCCCACTGATTTTTAAACTATAAACAAATGAAGGCCTAGATATAGATAGTCCATCATCTGCATTACTTTCAAGGGTTTCCTTCGCATTTCTGTTCAAGAGCTGGGCTCCAAGGCTCTCAATATGAACAGAGCTATGTTCTATACTTGAATTAACATTTTTTAAATGAAGACAATAGGAATAACCTATTCTCCATAAAAACAATTTTAAAGACTTAGAGCTAGTAAAAGGAATCCAAACAGTTTAGGAAAATGAAGAGTTTCTGCTCATATGTCAGCAAAAGAAACTTAGCTATGCGTGCCCACAAATCCAGTTCTGCTGTATGTGCTTCAATAAATTCCTTAAGAACCTGTCTCCTACTGGAAAGGAAAATGCAGGAATATACTTGAATTGTTTGTGAAGTCAGTGACAGCACCTGAGGACTCACTTCAGATTGATAAAGCATTAGGAAGGATTCTGTAAGAAAGCAGTTTCTCCACCTTAATAAAAGTGGTGAATATTTCTTCTTTAAACCTAAAACAACTATTGTTGTGTAGGCCTTACCTTCATATACAGCATTGCTATTTATAAATTCCTTTCACTTACTTTGCCTCATTTAATTTGATTTTCATTCTTCCCAGAGAAGTAGTTAAGGAAAATTTACCTCTGTCAAATTCAAGTAAAAACTAATATCAGTCCTCATGCCCTGGCCAGGCGACTCAGTAGGTTGGAGCATCATCCCGTAGGCCAAAAGGCTGTGGGTTCAATTCCTAGCACACTGACATACATTTATTTATTATTTATTTATTTATTTATTTTCTTTCTTTCTTTCTTTCCTTTCTTTTTTCCTTTTCTTCCTTTATTTCTTTTCTTTCTTTCTCCACACCCCCTTATCTAGATCAATAAAAAACATATCCTTGGGTGAGGATTAAAAATAAAAAATAAAATCAGTGCTCGCTTCCCAAATTCTTTGCAATCCAGAGCTCCACATATTTTCCTAACCTGTTTTCATCCATCTAAGTCTCAAGCAACAAAGCCTGTAACACCAGTGTAAGCATTCCCTGGAGCGGAGGCCTTGCTTGGTGTCATGAGACTGAGGAAATCTCTCCCTGTAGTCAATCTTTACATACACCTGGCAAATCACAGGAACTGTACATGTGAAATTAAAGCAATTTCTCTGAAGAAATACAGTAGCTGGTGAATTCTTAACTAGGGCAAGTTTTTCTGGATCCCTAAACTAGAAAACTACACACATACACCTACTCCTTACCTGTAGGATAATCCTATTCACATGTTGCCTGAATGAGATCTTTCTCCACCTCCCACTTTCTCATACTTTCTTTTTAAAAGAGGAAAAACATACTTTCTCAGTGAAATACTGCAAATAAATAAAGGTGGATATACTGTGCTTTACACTCTTGCATAATTTTATAAGTAAAACAAATATTAAGGAAAATATCAAAATAGAAGTATCAATCACTCTGGCCGGTGTGGCTCAGTGAGTTGAGCATCATCCTGCAAACCAAAAGGCTGCCAATTCCATCCCTGGTCAGGGCACATGCCTGGGGTGCCCACCATGTCCTCAGTTAGGGACATGCCAGAGGCAAACAACCCATGTTTTCCTCCCTTTCTCCTTCCCTTCTGCTGTCTCTAAAAATAAATAAATAAAATCTTTAAAAATGACAAGAATCGACTACTTTGTTCCTATATAAAGGGAAACATGGAGAAAGATGTAACTCATCATTCCATGATTATATTTCATCATAAAACCATACTGAAGACACTGGGGACTTGTTAATCAAAACAAGAGTTGGGCAGGGGCATGGTAGAAATAGAGAAAAGCAATAAAGTTAATGTGACACTTAGCAGACTTTGTAAGATAAAATACTTGTAAATCAGTGGATGACTATCTTGTTTTAATGCCACCAAATCCAAGAAAGCGAGAAAGAGGGAAAGTAATCAGTGTCTTCTGCTGCCTTTGGCAGACAATACTCTCTTCCTTACCTGGCTTTAAGTGGTTCCACATGGCTTCGCGCTCCCAGCCATGCATGCACTGATGAAATCCACCCACCTCTGAGGAGAGACCCTGTAAGTCAATGCCACCTACAATTCCCAGCCTTTTTGTCTTCAGCATCATTAGCACTCTACACACATTTTTAAAGTTGGGTTTCTTTTTGAGTTATTAAGGGCAGATTACATAGGAAGACTATTGTGCCTTTCTCT